TATGGGCCACAGCAACCACTTACCATCAGGTGGACTGTGTGCTCCTTTGTCACCCTATCCTATAAAAAAAAGATAACTGCATCTTAAAGTTTAGTATTTTGCAAAACATTCCACTATTCTGTATTAGCATTACTGTCTATCAAAAATCTACCGCTGAACAAAGGCCTCCCTCATAGATTGCTTTATAGAAGGGATTTTTCCATAATTGCCACGTTTGGCGGGTGCGAGGGTTGCTACAGTCCTTTTATTGATTTAGGTTATTATCAGGAAAATACTGCAGCACATTTCCTGTTTCAATTCACCACAGTTGCCTCTTAAGAAACCTACTGGATGATATGGTTAGTGGATATTCCTACAACACCACGACATATTAAACAACACAACCATTATCGATATACACACATATTCGACACGTAATAATCCAAAAAATTCAAAAATATATATCGTTATTCAAAATGAATGATAAAGGAGACAATATTTTTTAGTGTGGAAAATGGGCCCGCCACAAATTTTAAGGATTTTTTACGAAATGCATGTCGATTTATTCCTAATAGTCTATAGATTACAATGGTATTATAAGTTTTGCTGCATCTAAATGGAGCACTGGGAAATTAATTTTTAATTGCAGTTCTATTAAAAACCCCAAGCTATAACTCACCTGCATGTAAGACAACTACTAACTAATAAATAACAATAACTGTCAACATTAATATAAAATACGTTATTTATTTAAGAAATTACAAATTTATGTGCATTTGTATGCTGCAATTATTATGAATTTTTTCTGACTGCATGTAAATATGTCAAGATCTTGTGTTAAAAGAGTAACTACACAAATGGATTCATAGGCTTAATAGAAGTACTTATTACATCACCATCATCGTAAGAGCCAATCACAATTTAACCGCTAAGGCTTAAGGTTTAAGGCTTCTCCAAGGAAATACCACAATGCAACCGGAACCACCTGCATACACCAATATTTATATTATCCTACCACATAGCTACCATATAAGTGTTAGAGCCATGCTACAGCTATATCGTGGTTGTAGCACGACTGGATCGCCTCGACCAGGGAAAAAACACGCTCTCACCGAATACCAGCGTAAAATAGCAGCTTCAAAATATTACATTTCGTATGGTGAGTATACAGAACCGAAGACCCTTTTTACTGGAAACCAGGCATTCGTCTCAGTCCTCAGGGCTGACAACACATTTGAGTTTTGAATTAGAATCGAGGATAAATATAGATATCTATGGGCTTCAGCATCCACTTACCTTCAGGTGGACCGTGTGTTTGTCACCCTTATTCTTATTTCTCTATAAAAATTTATAGTTGAGCAAAACACTGTTCGAAAACTCATGAATAAGACTTCATTTGTTTTAAAGTAGACTTTTATAAATTTCAAGCTATAAATTAAACTTTGTAAGTAATTAAAAATGTTACCAACGTTACGTAGCTTATTGAAGTTAATAAAGTTAATAATATAGCGTAGAATATTATGTACGTTTACATACATATACTAAACAACACTTCCATGCAACTTGAAATACAACAAGGAAGTAGCTTTAATAACTAGTATCACGAGTAGACTCATAAACTGGCAGCTACAATGTAAGTCTGCTTGGGGGAGGTCATTAATATATCATGCGATCGCTTTTCACCGCTGAACGAAGTTTCATTATTGAATTTTTGTAACCCATACACGATTCTGATCGATTTTACCTACGCTGACAACTTTTTTCACTCAGCAGATGATATTATGTTATCGGGTTTACGTTCTTATTATAAAATCGAAACATTGCTATTTTTATAGTATAAAGGTACAAACGAGCAAACAGTCACCCTGATGTTGAATGGATGCTGTGGAACATTAACATCTACGTGTCTTCAATTAAGAATCAAAATTCAGATTTTGATTTTTGATTCTTAATTGAAGATTTGATGAGAATTTACGTTGTCACCTCTGAAGACAAAGATGGAATGTCCAGTTTTCAGTAAAATGGGTCCCATTAACTTATTATTACTACTATTTATTTTATTAATGTATTATATTGGCATGCTATGTTAGTTTCTCGAATATCTTCATAACGTATTCTACCACATAGAGAAAATTTACAGCCACTCAAGAAATTTTCTTCCCCATCGGTTATCAGTTCTTCGAGCTGTATGGCCGGCCCATTGCCACTTCAGCTTACTAATCCGTTGGGCTATGTCGTTCACTCTGGTTTTACTGCGGATATCCTCATTTCTGAGTCTATCACGCAGAGAAACTCCGAGCATAGCCCTCTCCATAGCTCGCTGAGCGACCTTGAGCGTCCTCATACGGCCAGCAGTGAAGGACCACGTCTCTGATCCGTAGCACTGGCAACACGCACTGGTTGTACAACTTAGTTTTCAGAGATTGAGGTATACCTGACGAGAAGATGTGTCGTAATTTCGCGAACGCTGCCCAGCCGAGTTGAATCCGTCGATTGACCTCTCGGTCGAAGTTGGACTTACCTAGTCGGACTATTTGTCCCAGGTAAACGTACTCGTCAACAACTTCGAGCATAGTGCTCCCAACAACTACCGGCAAAGGTGTGACATGGACATTAAACATGATCTTTGTTTTGTCCATGTTCATCTTAAGACCTATCCGTTGGGAGGCACTATTGAGGTCATTGAGCATAGTGCTTAAGTCCTCCAGCGATTCTGCCATAAGTACTATATCGTCGGCAAATCGAAGGTGAGTGATGTACTCGCCATTGATGTTAATACCGTATCCTTTCCAGTCCAGTAGCTTGAAAACGTCTTCCAAAGCAGCGGTGAAGTAGTATATTATTCATATACTACGAAACTTTGGTGTGTTATTTTCGCGCGTCTTCGTATTTTTCTGACAAAAAGAGGTATTTCAACTTATCTTTCGTGCAGCTAGTTAATTTATAAAAATAACAATGTTAATACCAGCAGGACATAAATATTATATTCTTCATAAAGCTGGATCTACTTCGTATGTATTTTCATCAAAATTCATAGAGTGAAACTTTGAAATTCATTGAACTTGAAAATTCTGTTGGTCCACTTCCCACTTCCTCGTACAAAAGCGATTATACGTAACTAGATGACCACCAAAACATACTGTTACCGACGAGGTAGCTTAAAAACACGTGCACATAAGTTTCTAATTAATATTATTGCAGTCTGAGTATGGTCTATTCGTGATCTTACTTATTACAGCCACAACCATGAGAAGATTCTAGTTGAAACTCTCGTGTTGTGGTAAAGAGATTTTATAAATATAAATTTAATAAATGCTATTTAATTTGTACGAGTATGTATATAATTTCTAAACGTTTTTTTTATTTAAAAGTTTATTGGTATGAAAAATGATATGAAGAAAATTTTAAAAATGTGAAAATGCACGTGATAAACTAAATTATGTCTTAGCAACTGCTAGAGGAATTATGAATGAAATTTTTTAACTCATATATATTTCAAAAACCAAAATAGAGGCGAGGCCTGTACCACGGTAATTAGATAAAACTACTGTGCCTGTACCCAGGCACTGAGGCAGTAGGACAATATATCTTCTTTTTAGTGGGCCACTTCTTTGCGAAGGTTGGCGACCATCATGGCTATATTTATCTTCAAAGCTGCAGTACGGAAAAGAGAGAGCGAGTTCTGAGGTTAAACTATTCACGAAGGTTCTTCACCCAGGATGTTTTTCTTCTGCCAGGTCGGCGTTTTCCCTCAATTTTTCCTTGAATCACAAGCTTAAGAATACGATATTTGTGTCCTCGCATTATGTGTCCTAAATACTGCAGGTTCCTCTCCTTTACGGTCCTCATTATCTCCAACTCCTTATTCATTCGACGCAAAACCTTAACATTTGTTATTCTCATGGTCCATTATACACGGAGCATACGTCTGTATATTCACATTTCAAATGCTTCAAGTTTTTGAACATAATATCGAGGTTAAGATCCAACTTTCGACTCCATAAAGTAGGACACTGAATACGTAACAGCGCAAAAGTTGCATGCGGAGTTTTCGGTTAAAGCGTATACAACACAAAAAACTCTTTTAGCTTCATAAAAACACTACTTGTTTGTTCTACACGGACTCGAATTTGCTGTTCGGTACTCCATTGCTCATTAATGAAGCTTCTTAGATATTTAAATTTATTTACGTATTCTATTGGATTATTCACCAAAAAAGATAATAATTTATCAATGGGATCTAAGATACTACCATAAAAATCGTTTTTTTTTCTTGTTTATTTTTAGTTCGTATTTGTTACTCGCCACATTTACACGATCCAACAACTTTTGTAGATCTACAATATCCTCTGCAATAAGAATTGTGTCATCAGCATACCGTATATTGTTTACGACTTCTCCATGTATTGCTATACTTTCATCGGTTCTATGAAGGGATTCGGCTATGATTCTTTCAGCATATACATTAAATAATACGGACGATAAAATACACCCATGTCGCACACCGCTTAATGTTAATTTCCTTGAATAGTTGGTCTTCCACCTTAAGTACTGATTAGTAATCACTCTAAGGTCATGTTCGTCGACACCGATATGTTCGAGAATCTTAATTAGTTGTTCACGCCGTACTCTTTCAAACGCTTTTTCGTTATCAATAAAGCACAAGTACATTTTTTATACTTGTCAAGACATCTCACGACATCCTACAATGTAAATTGTTACTTTACTTTAGAATGAGACGTTTTACGGATTTTATCGAGTTTTATTAGCTATACTTCGTTGCTGCATCATAGAAGAATTAATAACCACGTAGTCCGCTTTCTGTGGTACTGCATCATCACACGAATTTCAGATTTTAATTTTACAAAAAAATAATAATAAAAAGATTGTCCATTGACTTTTGTAAGCCGCTGTCAGCCTGTTGGCCCGGGCTGGCGTTTCGATCATTCGTTTTCCGTGTGTTGCATCATCCGCGTGTGCCCCGCAAGATGTGATTTTTTTTAATTTAAATTTATGTTAAAATGAGAAAAAGAACAAGTGAGAAGACTGATGATGATATTAGAAACAAAATGTCACGTTTGGAAAAGGAGTTAAAGTCTGGACGAAAACCGCCCGAGGATTTTCGTAATAAAGGTTAGTTTTAAAATCTTTTTAAATGGTAATTAATTTTATTTGCCTTTTTTATAGTTGCGGTAACAAATGATATAAACATAATATTTAATTAAGTAGGGTTTACCAAGAACATTGTACACAAATAATGTTAATGGATGATTTTAATTTAAGTACCCACATATTAATTATTAAATTTCAAGTTATTTTATTTCCTCAGTGGTGGCACATGTTATCCGGAAATAATTTACTTAGTTTCTTAATGTGGTGACATATGATGTTACCCAGAAAGTGAGAAGCTAATAATCGGGATTGTTCTATTGTTATGGTCTGAAGTATTTATACCAATACTTGGTATTTCTTTAGTAATCTGTCGCACGAATATATGGTCGCTAAATGGATAGGTAGGGGGCGATGGTTAGGAACCTCCCACTAAAAGTGGAAAGTACCGGACCCCCCGGTTTTTAATGAATTATTTCTTTAGTAATCTGCCGCATGAAAATATGGTCGCCAAGTGGGCTGGGGAGGGGTGGGGGCGGCAGGGGAAGGAACCTCCCCCTGAAATATGGAAGTGCCGGACACCCCCCTTTTTTAATGAATTTAATTATGTTACATATTAAGGTAAAATCACTTTCGCTTTTTTAAAAAAAGGGCGAAAAAGTGACATTCGTGTCCCGGTGGGAGTGTGGGAGTTATCAGAGTAGAAAAAAAACGTGGAGAAAGCCTCCGCTGTCTGTTACAAAAAGGTCAAGGTCAGCAAAGGTCACCAAATTGAGGTTATTTCTGCCGTGTCCCGTGTTAACCTCAATTAATAGTGTCGGTTATGGCACTTTTGCGGCAAGCGCCAGGTTAGGTTAGGTTGCTCCTAACGGACCTATGTTGTGTTCTATTCATTATAAGGATATAACCTCAAAATTTTAACTATCGATATCTAAAGATTTCCAGCATAAAAAACAGCTAGATGGTAATCAATAGCATCATTTCCTGTCAACTTAAGCTAAAATGATCACTAAAATCGTGCAGCAGATTACTAAAGCCGACCCTAAACTATTATTACTGAAAAGTTTTCAGAAGGAGTCCATGTTCATTCACCATCACAAGACGAGGAAAGTATACTCCCCCGCCCCCAGAAATCTTGGCAGTTCTTGGGGAAGCAAAAACGTCCGAGGAAAGTTTTGTACAGAAGATCCCTACAGAAGTCTCTGAACGTTGGAGAAAAATCCTAATAGAAGGATTGTCGAAAGAACAGAAGGAAAACTTGCTTACTAAAACACTAATCCCCGAAAATTTTTTGTGTCAGTAATTAATACATCGACCAAAAATCGTGACAGGCGTTTACAAAAGATGCAAAACCAACTAGTTGTGGCATTGCAGGTTTGGCACATTAACGTAAGAGTTAATAAGTAAAGAAATGAGCAAATACGAAATAATTAAACACATATCCGAAATAAATCAATTTCTACTAGACCTTTACCACGAGGAAACAATGGATCGTAGACGATTAACTATCCCAGTGTTAGATAAAACCTTTATTAATGTAATTCAAGGAATTAAAATTTTCTCTTCGTTGGCAATTTAAGTGAAAGTATAAAAACTAACCAAGTCAATAGAAAAATCTAGCCTGCAGATCAAAAGATCACAATTGTCTGCTCCCATAAAAACCTTGGGTACAGGTGTGCAGGGAGCGGCGCGTGCAACCTGCGCGCAAGCTCGGTTCTACCAGCAGGCAGGCAACCGCCAGCGGCACGGCGCCCACTGCTGATCAACCGGCTGCAGAACTATCACAGCCGCAACTAAAGGTACCACACGCTGGTCGTATTCAATAATTTTTACACAATTGGTTAAACGTAACAATGGATCCCTATATACTGAATATAGTAAAGGGCAAGCAAATCGTATAATTTTGGTTGAAGTTCACTTAAAGTAAGTTCCATTAACAATAAATTATATATTCCCGACGATTCGAGAACTGGAAACGCGAGAATTCATGGTAACACGGGTATCAAATCCTCCCAGTCCCTCCGTAACCATGGGAAAACTTGTTTCGTTCAATGAGTAGCGTTCGGGTAAACATAAGAAATCATTATGTACTTTAGTGTTAGGATATACAAACATTTGTATACAATTTGCTGCCATTACTATCTACTATTAGTGCCTATGGTAAGTGGTAATTGAGTGGTAAGTTAATGATGCTTAACTAAAACTGTTATGGTCATCGCTTGTTACAGTTGCAATAATTAACAACACTCGTAGCGCTGTCACTTTACGGCACAAAAGCACTAGTATTCTAAGCTTATTATTAAAATTAAGCAATAAAGTTTTCAAATATTTTGTAAACAATTATAGAACTTGTGTTTGCTTATGATAATCTATAAATTTAAATAAATTTTATATATAATAACTCCCTAATATTAATCTGAGGGGTAGGAAAACATTATGACATAAATTATCATTTTTAAAACTTTTGTATGTCTGTTCGGGCTAATCTTTGAAAATGTCGAACCGATTGTAATGTAACTTCAAAAACAGATAGAGAGCAATGCTAGGACTGATCTAGGCTATATTTATCAGTTTATTTTTTATTAATAGACCTTAACTAGGTGATGCCGATGCTAGTTGCTAGTCATCATATATTAACGGATATTTTGATTTGACAATGTTCTAAACTTTCAAATATTAAGTTACTAACTGCACAGAAGATTGTAATTGCCACTGTCAGAATTTTTATGTCAAAAAGTTAAAATTTGTTTAATATTGTATTAATATAATTTTAATGGTGATTAAAATAATTTGTAAATGAAAACTGCAGTTCCTCAACACAAGTACCTAACTTCACTTAGCACACAGTCCACCTGACGGTAAGTGACTCCCTCGACTACAAATCAAAATGCAGATGCGTCGTGCGTGCGTTGTCACCAGTGAGGACTAAGATGGAATGCCTCGTTTTCAGTAAAAAAAAGTCTCCGGTTCTATACACTCACCATATGAAACACAGCAGCATTAAGCTACTATTTTACGATGGTATTCTGTGAGAGCGTAGTCGAACGATGCGATGAAAGGTAACGATGCATTATATCTGAGACCTCAGAAGTGGTAAAGCAAAAATCCAGTTACATTTAGTATATAGATTATAGGTATACCGTTGTCACTCTTAACTTTAAAAATGAATAAGGAAAGAACTTCTCTAGTTCTTTTAGTTATTCGTGAAAACAATTTAAAGTCATATGCTTGACACTGGTCGTAAAATTGGTTCTTCTTATATCACGCAGCTAAACTAAAATGAAATTTTCTTGAGCATACAAGTTTTAATATAATGTTTTCATTTATAACGGAACTTGTTATAAGTTCGTTCTTTAAATTAAAAGTCGTGCAAGATTGGCTCGGCTCCAACGCATCAACGAGTATCTTAGCTGTGTATTTTACATTATTTTTAGGTTGTTCTTTTTATAAAGTTATGAGACATTTAACGTTTCAACAAATTAATTTATTAAAAATACTGGCTGTCTGCGCAGGACGTGATTCAAAATTCAAAATTCAAAAATGTTTATTCTGTAACAATAAATTTAAATAAAACTGTTAAAAATTTATTTCCTTTGTCAATTTGGTCAATAATGAGTGACGTTAGACCTGAAATAGCGTCTTCTGTGCAAAGACCTCGTCTGAAGCCAAATTGTGATATTGAGAGTATATTGTATTTATTTAAATAATTAGTCAAACGATTATTTAAAAAAAATTCTAAAATTTTGGATATTGCGGGAAGAACAGATATAGGTCTGTAGTTACTTGGATCGCTTCTGTCTCCACCCTTGTATACAGGAGTAATTAATGCTAACTTCAGAGCAGTAGGAAAAACGTCATCCCTAAAACAAAGATTAACCAGGTGTGTTATTATGGGTACTAATATTACATTTGCATGTTTTAGAAAATTGCTGGTGATATTGTCATATCCAGGGGCACTCTCTGTTTTAGGATTCATCAAAATATTCCTAACCTCCGAATCATCAGTCTCCAGCAAAGCAAAAGATGAAGCATGGGAGCTTACTGTTTTATCCGTAGTGAAAAAATTAATAGAGTTAAGTTTTGATAGAATGTCCTCCGCCAGGGATTTCCCAACATTGGCAAAGTAACTATTAACCAAGTTAACGGATTCAAGAGGGTCGATTCTATTTTAAACAAATCTATATTTTTGTCTAGTGACTGCTTGCGATGTGTGATATCATTTATTGCTTTCCAAAGCATCTTAGGGTTTCCGGTGGCATTAATTATCTGTTGTCGTTCAAATTTGCGCTTAAGTTTTTTAATTAAATTGTTGCAGTGATTTCTATAGCGTTTATACGTGATTCTCAGCACTTCATTTTCTGGATCAGATTTATATTTTAATTGCATATTATTACGGTTCCTAATGCATCGTAGGATACCTTGAGTCATCCAGGGTTTTATCGTGCGACTTGTTTTGGGTACCAATTTCATAGAGGTATTTTCTTGAATATGAGTTTGTATTTTATATATCAACAATTCGGTTAAAATGTTAGAATCATTGCATAGAAGCAGTTCTTGTAAGTTTGTGTTTTTAAGGCTATTAATAGCATTTTCATAGTTGACTGATCTTTTGAATTTATTACTAAATGTAGTTTTATAATAACGGTTATTTAACTTAAGGAAAATCATGTAATGATCTGTAATAGTTGTGTTTATCACTATGATTGTTGCATTTGATTTATTTGTATCTATTTTCAACATACAGTGATCGAGACAGTTGCTACCTCTCGTAGGTATCGAGTGTCCTGGAAGCAAGCCATGTGTACATAACATATTTAAATAGTTTAGTCTATTTATTCTTTCATGTGTACTTTCATTACATTTGTGTATTATATTAATGTTAATATCACCCGTCAAGACAATATGTTTGCACATTTTTAAGGACTCTAAGTAAAGACTAAGAGAGATGATAAAACTTTCAGCATGTATGTTAGATGGCGAGGGATAAATACCAATAATAATGTAGTCATTAAATTGAATTTGCAGACAAGACGCTTCTGATAGTGAAATTTCATTGACACTCACTGAATGCTTATTACTAATGGCTGTTGTTGTGTGTGTTGTATTTTAGGTCGTGTAATTATTTAACATAGGAACATTTTTCACTCTGTAAACATCTTAATTCTGAGTGTTTATGTATTGATTGTAAAGGACTACTTTTATGATATGTGTAGGTATAATGTGAATAATTTGTAAATATGCTAAAGATGAGTTTGTTTAATATATTTATGAGAGTGGTTGGATATGTGTGATGTGTGTTATTTTTATGTGTGTGTATTGACATTATGATAACAATAATAATTTTACATTTATATAGGTTAAATATTTTAGGAACACTAATCTTACAGGAACAATAAACATACAAATAAAAATGAATCAATACAAAATAAATATTTAGTACAAATAGTCATGCTTTTTGCATAAGGCTTTAAATTTGTGAATCGTTTTTAATTAAAATTATGATTACAGTACCCTAATGTATGTGCAAGCACACAGGTACACTCTCCACTCCCTCACTCTCACAGTCCGATGCGATGGTAATCCGACAATACCGGAGAGTAATCATAAGTTTTATTTATTTTGCATTATATTAGATTATGATCCTCTAGTGTCGCAGCCAGTGATTTCTTAATCCAAATACATATAAAATTCTACGTAATTCATCAGAAATACAGAATAATATTCTTTTTTGAGTGTAGAAAAGAACCCTTTGTATTGGAAACAAGAGATTCGATGTTAATCCTCAGGAGTTACAAATCGTCTATGTTTTGATTCTTAATCGAGGATAGATGTAGTAGGTAATGTGACACAGTACCCACTTACCATCAGATGGAATATGTGCTCGTTTATCACCCTTATTCGATTAAAAATGTATATTATCGCATATAAGGGGTACATCCTTTGGTTGACAAAATAACAGTTTCGATATCATTATTAAATTACTTATTTAGGCTTTATTTGCACACCAAGTACAAAAAGGTGGACGTTCGCCTTTTTCTTCGCAAGGTAGAAAAAGGCGGACGTCCACCAATGTGTATCAGACTAACTCCAGGCCAAGCAGAGAAGATATTGTGAGTGCCAAGTGCAAACGACTTTGAAAATATCTATGTACAAAATTTTATATGTAATATGACCATAACTACATACCTAATACATGATATAAACATAGTAACACGAAAATATAAATACACATTTAAACCTGCAATATATATACATATAAAAAGTTTATATTTATATTATACTATTTCATATTCTTATACAATTTATATACATGTTTTAAATTTATATTTTTTTTAAATTTAAATACAGCAGTCTCATAATCAAGCGCATATAAAACAAAAAAAGATAAATAATCTAGTCCTACTGTCAATATCAAAAAGTTAGGAGTAGACTAGCCCCCGCCCAATAAGTGGTAAATCAGCATTTAAAATTACATTTTTACTTTTACTTTAATTTTTAGGGGTCGCGTTTCGCTGCAATTGTTAGTTTAGTGTTGTCTATTCTTTGACGGGTTTTTGTTGACGGTACCCGGTCCATTGCTTATGGCGCCTACTGATTATATCCGGTCCGGTTTATGTTGGTTTAGTAAGTTGCAACTAAACTTTTTTAAATAATCGTATCTTTCCTTCACCATAACACTTTAATTGCATAAGCTTATTCACAAGTGAAATTAACTTTGGAATGCCTCGTTTCCAGTAAAAAGAGTCTCCGGTTATCTATACT